TAGTAGTAGTAGTAGTAGTAGTAGTAGTAGTAGTAGTAGTAGTAGTAGTAGTAGTAGTAGTAGTGATGTGCAGATCACACGCGATCCTTACCTATCCCTCTAAGAGGATATTCAATGCCAGCCTCGTTTTCGACCCAGGCTTCCTTCGAGGCCTACCTCCGATGTGGGTCTGGGAACCTTGCGAGATTTGCCGCGGGGCCCCTTTTGCTAAACTTTAGTTTCCTCAGATCCGTTTTAAGCAATTTGTTCAAAAGATTAGAAGAATAGTATTACATTTTCCGAAAATGCAAAGTTTTTAACTCTGTGCGAAAACAGCGAAAGCTCATCTAAAGAAAAACAGTTTTGCTCCAATTCGAATATACGACACAAGATTTGTAATAACGACGTTCTCTATTATAAACGTTATCAATTTTAGTTGGTAAAAGCACATCTACTGTCTTCTTCAATATCAATATATGTTTCAGGTGAATACACAGTACCAGCAGGTACGACAGCCGTCATTGTTACATACATGCTGCACAGAGATCCACAGGTGTTCCCAATGCCAGATCACTTCATACCTGATCGCTTTCTACCTGAAAATTGTGCTGGAAGACATCCTTATGCATACATTCCTTTCAGTGCAGGCCCTCGCAATTGCATAGGTATGTACCCTATACCCATACCCACCGAAATATTGAATAATATTGGTAAAATGAACTTTGCGGAATAATGGAAATATAACATTTTTAAAATACTTATAATAATGCTTGTTTTGTGTAGGACAAAAATTTGCTCTTCTTGAAGAAAAGGCCTTGATTTCTTCATTTCTAAGACACTATCGCATTGAAGCTGTGGATCGACGAGAAGATTTGACTCTTCTAGGAGAACTCATTTTAAGACCAAAGAATGGACTGAATGTTAGGATTTTTCATAGGACTTAACCTTTTGTATAAAAAATAAAAACAAAATGTATATTCATTCAAATTTCATGTAACGTTTTTATTTATTTTTTGTGGGTTTGTTTGATGTAAAAATGAGTATTTGTTTTTAAAAAAAATCAATTGCTGGTATGTTCACCTAACATTGTGACTTCAAAATTATTATATTTTAAGCCAGTAAAATATTTCTTTGCATTACAATGACAGGTAAAAAAGGTGTTGTGATAGAATAATTTGGTAGTGAGTGAAAAATGGTAAATTCCACAATCCAGCTATGCATTAAAACAAATACTCTTCTTCTTCTTCAAAGTACTCGCAATTCCGTGTTTTGAAATGTAAAACTCATTATTGAATCTGCCAAAAGAAGCAACTCTCTAAGAACTGGCGGATCTACGCCATTTTCATCTTCCATCCTCTATGATATCTGTCGCGGGCAGCCATACCGCACCTGGGTTTCAGACAATTACTCCGAACCATAGAATGTTCTTTTGGAATTTGTTTCATTTCTCTACACATTTTTCACGAAGTAATGTGTAGTGGAATAGTTTTGCGCAGAGTAATCATGACTGTTTTTTTTAATCATGGTACCAAAATATATAAAATCTTGTTTACATAACATTTTTAAAATGGTTAAGATTTCATTCAAAATTCCACCCATTATACTCATATTTTCAAATAATTGTGCATTACAATATTAGAATATATAATTTTGAAGAACATATTCCGTTAAGAAAAAATCTTCAAGGAAAATGAAGAAGGAGGAACCCGAAAATATTTTTATACATTTACAATTTTTGAAAATTGAGAAGTTCCACTGAAAAATCGAATTTGCACCACTTCATGAGCGAACTTATGAAAAATAAGCACTTATAAATAAATAGTAAATTAAAGAAAATATTTGGTGCCAATTTTGAAAAACGTCGAAAAAAATTCGTCGACAAAATTAAAATACCTCTTTTAAATTGGAGTACAAAATCATGTGTACTGGTAGCCGCTTGTAGTCCGCACTAATTGATTTACTGTTTTCAACTGCTACGGTAATCTGATAGTCCCGTAAGTGAAGTGTAATTAAGTGAGGGGGCGATGTTCCCCCTCTCTCAAGCTTCTAAGCTCCCGACATGGGTGGTAGTGAAGTGCAGGTAAGCGTGTGTGAGAGAAAGGGGCGAGGATAGGACAAGGAAGAGGAAGGAAATATTGCACGTGGTCCGTGACCCGTTTGTTAGGATAGAGCTCCGGCTTCGCTCATTGTTGATCGGAGAAACCACGGAAAACTACCGATCACAGCAGCCGGCCGCTAGAATTCTTCTCTAGACAGCAACTGAAATTTTGTTCGAAGATCGTAAGTTAATAACAGGTTCGTATTTACCAACAGGCAAAATAAGCAGTTGCTAAAAGATTCCTACTCATGGTCATTAGAAAGACCCGCAACTTACAAAAAATATTTTTTTAAATTCATACAATTTGTTTTTTAGTTAATTTAAAGGATTTTTCCGGAAGGAGGGGAAGAGCAGTACGATATTTTTGGAGGGGCTCGTCAATACCTAAATCCGGCCCTGATTAACAACGAAACGAATGAGACACTTTCCAGCCTTTCAGGTGCAATCTAAACCCTAAAAAGCGTTCGTGTATTAATATCCAAATAAAAGCCTGGCATCAGAAACAGCGAATTGCTCTCCGCGCCACTACAAAAGACTCTATGACTCTACAATGCGGTGCACATTGTAACAGGAGACATTGCAAACACAGCGTTTTAGATGCACGATGGAACTCAATAAGTTATCTACTGTACCTCTGTACCTTTCGGCATTGCAGGAGAGCCGAGCGTGCCCGATCAGAGCAGGAGGCCGCTTGAATTCTCTTTCAGACAGAGCTAAATTCGACCTAGTTGTCTAGCTCATGTCGAAATCCTACCAACGTTGAGTTTCGACCCCAGGACCCCCCGGTCAGAAGCCCTGTAGTTGATAGCCACGGCCGGTGTTTGTAGTCCAGTCAAATGGTACAAAATGAGGGAAAGTTTTGTTGTTTTGATATTTGGTTCCTGCATGGTTTTTGTATCACTAAATACGAATATCAGCTTTGCCAACAAGAAATCTGCCTGGAAAGACGCTTTTTTTAAGCAAAAAGAAATGTTAAATTTTCTACTTTTTTAATGTTTTTTCAAACTAACTTAAGCCATCTATTTTTCGTAAATAATGACACTATAATAAATGAAAATATGTTCCTCTTTATGGGGTGAACGTCAATGGTCCCGTTACGTGGTGAAGGAGTTTTTTCCATATGCGGGATTTTCTCGTATGTGAAAGGGTCGGTTTGTTCACGGAACCTAGGTCATCCCGTTTGTGTTTGTTTAAATCACTCTGGCTAAACTTCGTGAACTACCTATTTTTGAAGTTACGACTGACAATTGGTAAGAGATGTAGCGTAGAACTCGTACGCATATCCTATCTATTGATCTTTATAGCAGGCAAAAGGTTCATTTCCGTTCTGCTGAAAATTCGTTATTGATGTAGAATTGTATTTACAACGCGATGAGTTTTCTAACCCGCCCAATTCGCAACTTTCTCATCAAGTTCAAAAACCTCTGCCACCTTCACGCACCGCTTCTCATCTCTCTCTCTCTCTCTCTCTCTCTCTCTCTCTCTCTCTCTCTCTTCTCTCTCTCTCCTCTCTTCTCTCTGTCTCTTTTCCCTTTTCTTTCTCTCTCTTCTCTATTTCTCTCATTCTCTTCTCTCTCTCTCTCTCCTCCTCTCTCTCTCTCTCTCTATATCTAGTTATATATATATATATATATATCATTCCCCCTCTCTTTCTCTCTCATTCCTGTCTCTTCTCTTTCTGAAATTTCGTCTCAAAGTAAGCCGCGAGAGTGAAAGTCTAAAGGTTATTCGCGACTTTCGCCTGACCACCCTGCCCCCCTCCGTAGGTACTTGTAAGTTTGAGGAATTTTCTATCAGTGGATTTACTTTTCTTACTCGACTATCGTTCTCCGTTTGGTCGTAGACGTCGTGGTCGTTTCTAGGCGTATCGAACCAAACAAAAATACCTTTTTTAATACTGATCCTTCAAAATGGCATGGTCGTACTTTTGCACAATTACAATCTTCTACTTTAGGGATAAATTGAACGCAATTATTTGCTCCAAAGAGAACATTTACTATTAACAAAGTTTATGAAAGTATTAAATCATTTTCTTCTAAGGGTTTATCCTATCTAGAAAAGTATACCTCTTTCTTTGAACTCTCAAAAAACGCAGTGATTTAAGAATTATACATCACCGTTGTTTGAGTGTGAAACTCTTCCCGCACGTATCTTCAGCTCTGTTACGACTTCATCACGTGACAAAATCGGTTTAAACTCGAGCGGCGAAGCCTTATAAGGGAACTCTTTTTCAGAAGGAATATCGGGATGTAGAGAGCTCAAGAGAAGAATAAACAATACACTGTACATTTCCCTTTCTCTTTTAACACTTTCAATAATTTCAATTTCCAATAATCACGATATTTTGATTGAAAAGAAAATGTATATTGAAAAGAATAAAGGATCAGACGAGAAATTAAATAAATGAAAATAATGTTTGAATGAAGTATGTTATTTATTAACTTGATGTAATGAGAGGAATTAAATGTAAATAGATGGTAATATATTCCATTTTTTTAACCCAAAATCTTACTTTGAATACGCACTTTAACAGGCAGTATGTGAATGACGTGTGTACTCTCTGGACGTATGTATTCTTTCATAGTGACTTTTTCAAGTGACTTTTCTAAGAAAATAAGATATTTCACTTCTAAATAAGAGATAGTTATCTAATCCTTTATTGATAAAGTTCATAAAATGTAGTTGCAGCTGAGGGTGCTATGAC